ATTACGAATTTTGTTTATTTGGAAATATATTTTCTGCAGTATTTCAATACCAAAAAATGAAAATAGTAGGTAGCTAATTAACGAAATTATGATTAAATAACTTAATTGTAACACCACTGCAGAATATCATATGATACATACATAGATATTCGTTGATTCTTTAAAAACATTTTTATCAATACCTAATCATACATTTAAGTAAATACAGTAACGCAAAAAATAGATATTGATAAAAAAGTGTACAAAAGAAATCCGTAAGTACGCCTGGCAACATTACCAAAGTCTTGTTTATATGTTGCTAGGATACGCTTAGGTATGCGGGCCGCTGTATTTGATTCTTCCTAAAATTCTGCTGGTGGTGTACTCTACCGGCAATTCGGAAATTTAAAACTGTTGGCCTATTCCAGTAGCGGTCTGTGGCGATAGCTATTTTGTCTGTGGTTTCATCATTGTCTTGAAATCACTAAAAAAATCTCCCCTTTGTCGACGTACTTAATTAACATCCTGTATAATTTTATGGTCACACCTAAAAGATCATCACGTACCTATAAGTTATGAAAATTAAGGCTTTTTTATGGTTTTTCCTTTATCTAAAAATAATAAATAGACAAATAAACAGCAAACTATTTATTCGTTATTGGTATAAGTAACACTTCTTTACTTGTAGGGTGATGACTACAAAAGACTATTCTTACAATGGCAAGCTGTGGAGGCCGTGCGCCACTGTGGCCGACGAGAATAGTTTTTTCCATTCGGCCTTCGGAATTAGAGCCGCCGAGGGAGAAGCCTACTCCGATAAACACTATAAAGTTAAGCGCATGTGCTGGGCTGCATTCCTGACTTATTTCGAAAATGAGGAAATGCCGGTTGTTCTAGCAGATATACTGATTGGATGTTTCTCAGCAAAAGATGCATACAAGCACAAATCTATCAGAGATAAAAATCACTTTGAAAGTTACGTACGTGACATTACGATGGCGGGGCAACCTGTTACCAAACAAGAAGTACCCATTCTGTCAACATTGGAAAATAAAAAAATCGTAGTGTTATCAAATGAAGGACGGGATCCAGTTGTAACTGTAAATCCCAATATTGAAATTCTGGGTGATTATTCGAACGTTGTAGAAAAGAGCAACGAGGAAGTTGTCTTGTGTCTAGAAGGAAATACGTTTACCAGGCTTGAACTTGTCGGCGAAGACTCTACCTCAAAACCTTTAAGAGTCATCAAGAACATAACCGCCAAAGAACACTTGCAGCATCCTACCAGTTGTCTTCTAAAATATATGAAAGGTGGGAGTGCTGGGAGCAAAGGCGTTGAATTCCAAATCAACTTGCTGATGGTTCTCCTGTTCAATTCTCTGAGGAAACTCAAAGACTGGAAACTGTCTACAGAAAATAATAAAGCAGGGAAATTTGACGACGCAATTCTAGAGTCGCCAGAGAGTGCCTTTTTGATCCAAGCCAAAAATAAAGAGAAAACGAATTCGAAGATAACCTTAAATGCTCTGCTTTCCACGAATCCAAATAATTCTTTCAGCTTGCCCAAGTATTTTCTCTCATACCAAGAAGTGAAAAATCAATTTAAAGGGAAGAATACCATTATAATTTGTACCAACGCAGGTTTCGATAAGACGGCCTTGGAATTTCTAGACACCCGCAGGATTTGCACTGAAAGTGTGCTATATTGTGCTGATGACAATTGTTCATCTCATACATTCAATCTAAACATTTTGAGCCGTTTAAAAGGAAAAGTTGAAATATACTGTCAGGACAAAAATATTGACCAATCGGTAAACACCGATAACAACTTGAAGGATTTTTTGAAACGTTTACAATTTTATTCCAATTACCCGTTGGGAAATAATAATAAAGACAAAGACACTGAAATATTAGTGTCTCTTCTGAATTGTTCTGGGAATTTTTATGGCCATATATCATGTTCGGAAATATACGCTAAATTAATGAAGTGGTTTCAGCAGAAACACGGCATATACTTAACTGAGACTACCGTTAATGCTATGTTTCTTGAAATAAAAAGCGACCAGTACTGGCAAAAGTTGGATAAGTATGGCGTGTCCTTCCAAGGACATTTGTTGAATGTCCAAGACAAAACGCAATTGTATTATGTTAATGCTGAGGGAGGATATTTGCTCCAAGAATTGAGAATTCATCATTCCTTGAGAAAATACAAATCTAAAATCCTCTACGCCAGTCCCGATGATGGTGGTATCGAATTACAAAAAAGGGCAATAGAAGCATTCGAGCTACCATGTCATACCTTTCTAATATTCTCTTGGCCTGAAGATGGTCTAGAAGAATCTGTAGTGGCCGAAATATGTGACAAATTAAGAAACACCTTAAATCAGTATGAAAAGAAGAAAGTTATTCTGGTGGCTAAGAGTGATAAATTAGTTCATCAAATTGGACTAAATAGAAGCGTTTGTGGTATTATCGATGAATCTGTAACTTTCAAAGACTTTTGTCAGGTTTCTCAGTCTAAATTATTAAAGGAAAAAGTAGTTTTTCAAGGAAAAGAAGTTAGCTTAGAAGAATTACTTGAAACACAAACCGATCAGGATTACACAAAAAAACTGTGTTCTGAAATATTAGAGGTATTAGTGAAAGAAGAACAAATTAGAGTGGGGCTAGAAGTACGTCCATTGGATGAACAATTCGGTTATTATTACATTGATCGCAACTTGATAAGAATTAACGATGAAAAAGGTTTTGGTAGAAAGAGAACGGAGACTATTTCAGAGAACAAAATATATGAGATGAAGGATAAAGTAGTAGTAATCGCTGATGCTGCAGGGATGGGAAAGAGTACAATCCTTTCTCATTTAGCGGTTACAATTAAGAACAACAATCCTCATCTGTGGGTCATACGAATCAACCTCAGTGACTATACTGGGATTTTTAAAAATTTCCAAAAAAAAACTGAAACCATAAATATTATAGACCTACTAAATTCTAAAGACACCAAACTATCGAACCAATTAGAAGAGGTGGTATTTTCGATGAACAAGAAAGTCGTCATCATGATGGACGGGATAGATGAGATCAGTCCCAATTATACAGAGCTTGTGGTAAATTTGCTTCGTCAATGTCAACAGGGATCTAATTTTGACAAAGTATTCGTGACTACGAGGCCAAATATGACCCAAGAACTGGAATCAAAGCTACTAGTGAAATCTTTTACGTTACTGCCGTTTACAGAACGCGATCAAATACGTTTTCATACAGAGTATTGGGCGCATAATTTGAAATTAGATAGTATCAATAAGAAGAAATGCGAGACATACGCTTACATACTGTTAAGAACAATGTCGTCTTGGATGAATTTACATCAAGAAGGTGAACAAATTGGTGCGATGCCACTACAGATCAGAATGTTAGCGGAGATATTTCAGACAAACGATAGGTCAGAAGTATCGATGGATTGGGAAGGTTGCAAAGAATATCTAGAAGGAAACGGAATATTAAAATTACCAGAAAAAAGTAATGTTGCAAAAATCTATGAGATGTTTATTGAGAAAAAACGAAACGTCTTTAAAATTAAGGGAAATCCAAACGGTAATACGGCAGCGAATGAAGCGCTTGTTGATCAGTTTGAGGAGTGTCTCGCTTGTCACCGTTTGCTCGCCTTAGAAGAAATTCTACGTAAATCAGAGTGTGAATTGTTCTCGCATTACCAGCCAGTAGACAGAAATGTGGAAACAAAGATATCGAAGATGGGGATCGTACAAATATCGGAAAATAGATTCTATTTCGTCCACAGAACTTTTGCTGAATACTTCGTCGCGGAAAGTTTGTTAAGTGAATTGCAACTCCAAATCAAAAATCAAAATGGAAATTTTCAAAAATTCTTCTTCGACGAAATATTATTAAAGGCGAAATTTAAAGTAGTTCGTACCTTTTTTGACAATTTTCTTAGTAAAATTGTTGACCAGTTACCTTCCAATATTTTCAGAAGTTATCGATCCTTAAGGTATGATATCGATTTGGAAGATAATTACTATTTAATTCATAATATGGCGAGGGAGGGCTGTACAGCAATTCTAGAACTACTCTTCAAATGCATCGATTTTGAAGTTATTATAGGTAAAGGAATTTATATTGAAAATCTTTTGCATGCTTATTTTGACCAAAGGGTTCCTAGATTCATTTCTGCAAACACGTTGATTGTTTTATATTCGCTAGTGGGAGTGGGTGGAGTTAACATTTATGATGATATTCATACACCATTACTTTACGCTACTCAAGAAGGACACTTGGAAATGGTGAAGTTTCTTGTTGAACGAGGTGCAAATGTGGATCCGATAAATTCTATGAGGCCATTGTGGATTGCTATAAATCGTTCTCACTTCGACATGGTAAAATTCATGGTACAGCATGGAGCAGATATTAAAAGAAAAAATACTAAAGGTGGTACTATACTTTATAAAGCCATCTCTATGAATCACGTAAATATGGTGGAATTCCTTCTGGACAGCACATTGGAGTGCAACAGATGGGATGAAGTAGGCCCGATTATTCCATACACGTTTGCTTATTTAGGACGATTAAACCGACTGGAGAGTTTGGTGGAAGAGGGCTTCGACGTAAATAGGTCAGTAGAAAATCAAGAAACCATAATTTTTGGTGCCGCACTAGGTGGGCAATTAGATACCATCGAATATCTGGTAGATCGAGACGTCGATATCAACGCCAGGGACGAGAAGGGTAACACGATGCTTCATCTGACTGCTATGAGACCCTCGCTTATATCGACTGCTAAATTGTTAATCGAATTAGGTATAAACATGAACGTTAAAAACTTAGATGGCTCCTCAGAGCTACATTTAGCAATCCGCAACCTGGATATGGTTAAACTACTAGTGGAAAATGGCGCAAAAGTGAATGAGAAGAACAATCGAGGACAAACAGCTCTCCACATTGCCGCCGAGACAGGCATATTGGAAACGGTTGAATTTCTTATAGAAAATGAATCGGACGTTAATATTAGAAGCAATAGTGGCGGAACGGTACTGCATTCTGCTGCCGCAGCTGGTCAATTGGGCATTGTCAAATTCCTCGTAACTAGACTTGGTGTAGACTTCAATGTTACTGATAATAACGGTTATACGCCATTACATTCAGCTTGTGAATGCTTTGTGTACTCAGCTCTTTCAACGGGTCAGTTAGACACTATCAAATTTCTAGTGGAACATCATGCAGATTATAATATTAGAAAAAATGATGGCGGCTCGGTACTACATACAGCTGCTATGTGTGGTCAGCGGGACATAATCGAATATTTTGTAGAACTGGGTGTTGATGTCAATATTAGTGATGATAAAAAACGTACGCCGCTACATGTTGCTGCCCTGCGGGATGAATTGAACGCTGCTAAATGTCTGGTGGAACTTGGTGCTGACGTTAATCTTAGAGATAACAAAGACTGCACCCCATTACATTTGTCTGCCTTGAACGATAAGCGCGACATCGTCAAATTTCTTTCCAAAGGTGATATAGATAATAATATTAGAGGAAATGATAATGAATTGACGTTACCCATCGTGGAGCAAAATATAAGTTTTAAATACGTTCTGGGCAGAACCACTTTACATTTTGCTGCAGAAGAGGGCGACTTGGACGTCACCAAATACCTTGCGAGTCTAAATGTAAACTTAAATATTACTGATGATAATGGCGAGACACCGTTGCATTATGCTGCTTTTGCAGGTCGCTTGGACGCTGCCCGATGCCTTGTACCACTTGGTTCGGACGTTAACATTAGAGACAAAAACGGCCTCACCACATTACATTACGCTGCTATGAGCGGTCATCGAGACTTGGTCCAGTTGTTTCTGGATCATGGCGTGGGTGTAAATATTAGAGAAGGCAACGGCCATACAGCATTACATTTTGCTGCTCAGGAAGGTTATTTTGATGTTGTTAAATACTTAGTGGAACGCGATGGGGACGTAAACGTTGCAGATAACGAGGGCCGTACCGCGTTGCACTTAGCGACTCTGATGAGCCCAAAGATATTGCGTTATAAACATTCTATTCAGAAGGATTATCTAAGTATTATTATCTTCCTAACTGCTAAAACCTAACCTAACTGCCATGTTGAATAGGAGTAGCTTACTTTAGCACTTGGAAACCAAACATAAATAATTTGTTAAGTTACTCTTCCTTGTACCGCAGGAAAATAGTGCATTTTTTCTAATAATCTAACGAAAGATGTTAAATTTGTTTCCACCATTTCAGTCTAATGTTCTCGATTCTGGATCGCACTAAATGATCAATCATCACGAATCAGTACCGGCAAACACTCCTTTGAAACATTAATTTTGCGTTCCAATCTTTAATAACACAGGTCAACAAGGAAAAAATTCCAGAGATCAGACACTCTGTTTCCGAAGGCATTTGGCACGCTGAATCCGAATCTGGCCTCAGAATTGATCCATCACCCTAGGTTTCCGAGATATTCTAACCTAAAAGTGCAAAAAACACGTATTTTTGCTATTTTCAAGGTTATGTAACTTGGCGAAAAAAATTTTCTTTCTCAAAACTGAAAATATCATTGGAAACTACTATCTTTCCCCTTCAAAACGCATTTTTTTATTTGCAAAAAGCTTTATTTTTCGCGGAGATATCGTCGATTAAAGATGATCAGTATAGCTACCTTATTAAACCATGGCTCGACCTATAACACAATTAATGGGTATTATGGGTTATTGGGTAATAGGGCTTGAAGTTAACCTTCCTGACGATTAGGGCTCACAGCGCTTAGTGTTGTGGGGTTATAGGGCTTGGGATTAACCTTCCAGACATATAGGGCTTGGGGTTAACCTTCCTGACGATTAGGGCTCGCAGCGCTTAGTGTTATTGGGTTATAGGGCTTGAAGTTAACCTTCCTGACGATGAGGGCGCTCGCTCCGCTTAGTGTTGTGGGGTTATAGGGCTTGGGGTTAACGTTCCTAACAATTAGGGCTAGCAGCGCTCAGTGTTATGGGGTTAGCCATGATGTAATAATATAGCCATACTGGTTATCTTAAATTAACGATATCTCCGCGAAAAATAGAGCTTTTCCAAATAAAAAAATGCGTTTTGAAGGGGAAAGATAGTCGTTCCAATGATGTTTTCAGTTTTAAGAAAAAAATTTTTTTCGCCAAGTTACATAACCTTGAATATAGCAAAAGTACGTGTTTTTTGCACTTTTAGGTTAGAATATCTCGGAAACCTAGGGTGATGGATCTATTCTGAGTTGAGATTCGGATTCAGCGCGCCAAATGCCTTCGGAAGCGTAGTGTCTGATCTCTGGAATTTTTTTTTTTGAAATTTTGTCGGCCTGTGTAATTAATTAATTAACAAGAGTAACAATTATAGAATATAATATATGCAAGGTGTCCATTGACAGCAACGACTGAGTCTATTAGGACAGTCAAATTGTTGAAAATGCCCAAATTTATTTCAGTAAACAGACACGTAAAAGTTAGGAAAATTTCCCTAGAATTGAAAAATTTCAGACCTTAATATTAATAAGTGAGGCGTAGCAATTTTTTGAAAAAAAAAAACATTTTTCGGCTCCTGTTGGTCGTAGGACATTTTTTTTTAAATTCGAGAAAAAATTTCAGCTTTCAAATGGCAATAAATAATGCCATTCCGAGTAGATTTCAACGATAAGAAAAAGATCTACCAACATTTTTCGACCCGAAAAAAAGTCAAACTTTCGGTAGATTTTTGTATACAGGGTCGGAATGTCCCCATGGTTCATCGGCCGTTACGTGAGAGCGATAAAGTAAGTCATAGAAATCCGTGCGATAGAGAAAGATGGCTATAATGAAGGCGTCTAATAGTCACCGCCCATTTCGCCCTTCCACAAATAAGAAGTGGTGTATTTGAAAAATATGTGTGTAATTAAAGTACCTACCCAAAGATTCACGTCGTCCAAATAGTCAAAATTCAGTAATTTTTAAACGCACAAGCACAAAACAAACTACAAAATTAAATAGTGGTACGCAAAAAACACTTCGACACGATCGAATCCAGATACCAACTGAATTGCGTATTACTGGACAGCTTAGTACCTCGTGTTAATAAACCGCCGCGCCGTTGCCACATTGCTCGGTATGAATTTTATCGAATTTTGAATTTATTACAACGCTAATTATTTTTTAGAATTAAGCATGAAGAAGTTCAAAAAAGTGATAAACATTGTGTTTTATGGTATTCTATGCTCGCAGTTATGTCAATATTCGTTATTAATTAATCGAACTTTTGTACATCAAGTTGAAGATTTTGATAATTTTTTTCTCAGAAATGGTTGAGTTTAGGACCCATGTCATATAAGGTTTTTTTGTTTATATTAATGCATTCTATCGTCTGTTAAAATTAAGTCAGTCGAACTTCTAACACCTTGATTATGATATTAATATGTTTTTAAATCTGAATATAATAAAACAAATATGTCTTAAAAATTTCTATGATTTCAGTCGTCAAAGATGAGTTATGTGTACTGCTTTCTGTGTGCTTTAGTCAAGACAAACAAAGAAGTAGGTATTCCATACGTAATAATTACGTATACATATCTGCTATTTACTTATTTTTTTTTTTTGATAGTATATATATATTAAAAATGCTCCGGACATAACAGATTAATTGTGTTAAATCAATTTTATCTGATTTGTCTCTGAATTTTATAAAAAAAAGGGAACATATACAGGGTGGTCCAGATTTTAATAGGCAAACTTCGGGAAACTACTAAACAACAAAAATTAACATCACTTTGCTCTATGAACATAGGTGCAGAAAGCCACCGTTTATGAGATACAGGGCGTTGAAATTATCAAAAATAAAACAACTTTTTTAAATATTTGAAAAAAAATTTGTGCCAAATTTGGATAAATTTGATAAAGTAGTTTTCCAGATATTTAAAAAAGTTGTTTTATTTTTGATAATTTCAACAGCCTGTATCTCATAAACGGTGGCTTTCTGCACCTATGTTCATAGAGCAAAGTGATGTTAATTTTTGTTGTTTAGTAGTTTCCCGAAGTTTGTCTGTTAAAATCTGGACCACCCTGTATATATATTCTACTGCAGATGTTATCATTATCAATTTTATCAATATATATTTCTGACTAAAAGATATTATAAACCCAGATAAAGCAAAGCACATAACAACAATTTATTTCGTAAACAAAACGTTTTAACGAAAAGAAGTTTTAAAAAATGTTTGTAGGTATATTATTATGTTTTTTCAAAAAGCATACATAGATACCTACCTTAAGTAACTTTTATACGAATTGCCTGATTGACAAGCAGAGGTGAAGCGACGTGGTCGATCTAATGGAAACAACTGCATGGTTGCTATATTGCCGTTTCGTCAGATATTATTTCATTAAAAAAAATAAAATCTATTGTATCCGAAAATTAATTGCAAACTACAATTTGGCAACCATGCAATCATATTTATCAGATCGACTGTGTTCCCAATCAGACAGTTTTTATATAATTTAGATAAAAAACATAAC